CCACTTACCTCGATCACTTGAAGCTCAGTATTTTCCATTGTCCAGGTTTTGTTGAAAATCTGCCTCATACCATTATCTCGGATCTTTTTTTTCCGCAATAAATCTGCCTCGTATAAAAGGTGTGACTTCTGATTATTCAAGGCGTGATATCGTTAAGTTACTTCGTATCTGTGTTTCGTCATCATTGTTGTCATCAATTACCGTTCTGAAGATGTCGTTGTGGAGCAATGAGAGGGGGATCAAACCAGGTACGTTACCGGTACCGTCGGCGCAAGCCGACGAGGAGGGTAGCGTACCCCAACATGGGGGCCAAGCGGTAGCCCAACGAAATTTCGCTAGATTAGATCCAGTAGGAAAGGAGTTACGACTGAAAAGTACGGCTGAACAGCCATTCCACCGAAGACTTTTGAGCGCTACTGTATGTGTGTATATACATGATGTGTATGTACATGTGTATGTGTATGTGTATGTGTATGTGTATGCATAAATGTTGTCACATTTTATTTTAATTTTATATGACTATTACCCTATTTGCAATAGTTTTGTCAGTTAAAAATTCAATTTTAACGTTCGGCTCGCTCAAGAAAAAATTACCTTCGAAAAGAAAAACGCAGGCCTTCATGAGAACATATGTGCCTTCACTAAGACAGAGATTAGCCATTGGAAAAATCACCTCGTCGAAGAGAGCATCGCATAGACGAGAGAACATATTCCTCAAGCTAAATCATACGACTGAATTCACATTGAAATGCATAAGAGTGTTTTTGTGAGCTTCTATCCCAGTTTATTTCCGAGCAAATGAGCTTCAGGTAATTTCAAATGGAAATTAGCCTTGAGGCACAACAGATCTCCTGAAAATTTTTCGAACTGCATTGGTAAAGAGAAATTTAGTCTATTGACGGTAGCCCGCGCCCACTTCATGAGTAATGCCTTCCATTGGTTGCCGAGATATTCGTTCTTCTCAGGGAGAAGTTTTCGTAGTAAAACTCACTATTCGTCTTCTATCCTGAATCTGGTATCCTGTTCGTATGGGAAGACATTGCCACAACCCAGTAGAAGTCCACTGCAGCTTTCACGATAGGTACGATAGCATTTGGTGAACAGAGAGAACTGAGTGAAACGACCAATGAAGATTTTTACCTAGAATGTAGAGGCTGTTTGCTCAAAGCCGAAGATTTACAGTTGTACGTGATGTGCTGCATTAACATCAATTCTTTCACACCAATCAAGGGGCATTCGAATGCGGCAGGCACCTGTTTGCCCTGCACCAGTGTTTTTCAGACAATTATTATTTTCAGAAGTCAGTAGGGCGAAAGACTTTTTCAACACCTTTTTTATTTAGATCTCAAACCCGTAGGAAAAGAGGTGGGTTGGTGCAAACAAAGGGTTAGCAAGCCGACCACCGTAAAAATGCACATTCAAACTTGCTGAATTGTGAAAACC